AAAGGGAAAATGAAAAAGAGAAAAAAAACCAAAAAAAAAAGAGAAAGGAAAGAAACAAGAAAAAAAGAGAAAAGAGAAAAAAGGAAAAAAATAAGAAAGAAAGAGTGTTTATTCTAACATGGTTGTTGTTTCGAAATAAAAGCTAGTTAAAGGTGGTCGGTTTGTTGGTTTGCAATGGCGAGTCACAAGAACAATCCAAGATCTCTCGAAAATAAAAGTATCTTCTCAACCAAGGGAATAAGCACCATTGTTGTTGATTCAGGGTCACAAAAAGGCAAGTAGGCAAGTTGGTAGTGAAAAATTAAAAATGGAGGCAAATGTGGGGTTGACTTTACCAGATTTGAGCAATAGGACATGGGCTGCTCGGGATGATCGTCAAAATTTGAGTATTGAATCCAAAGCAACCAAAATTGTTAAATGTCATTGTAATGCTGATGTGCGAATGTGTGGCTAAGATATTGCTTAGTAACTGGAAAGTCACTCCTCTTTTAGCCATGGTAGCTTATTTTGTCATTTTTTCTTTTTCTTTTGTGTTATTGGACCCTGCTATCCTTTATTCAATAAAAAGCAGTCAGTCATTTTGTGTCCATTTTGTGCATAGTTCTGTTCATGCTAGTTTTTGGTGACATGACATGTATGAGGAATTTTTGGCCAAATCTTAGAAAACGTATTTAGTCTTGAATTGGATAAGTGAGAAAGAGACACTGTTGAACATGAATAGACATGAAACAATTGGAAAAAAAGCATGAGCCTAGTTTACATGGAACCAAAACAGTCATGCTCATAGAAGTTAAGGATTTCTACTTTTTGAATCATTTGAGAAGATCGGGCTTAAGGATGATCGGACGGGTTGAAATTTATTTAGCACTAAGAGATAGAAAATGTTTTTCAAAAGATGGTCTATTCCAGACAACTTAAAATGGATTAGTTAGTGGCAAAATGCATCTTCTTCATCAAGACAAAATCCAAGAAAAGTCACCCGAATTGACAAGGGGCATTCACTGCAAGGAAAGTATTGCTCATACAGCTTTACACTGAAAAAGACCCAGAAAGCAACAGGTCTATAAATGTTGTGATTGTGAAAGATACTATGTTTGGCGTTCTCGAGGTTGGGAGGCCCTTTTTCTGCTACCCAAACACTTTATACCATTTGTCACCCCTTTGAGCCTGTGTTATTTTATTTGACCACCCTCTTTTGGAATCAAGTTTAGAGTCAAAAGTCAAAAAGAAAATAAAAAAATAATAACAATAAAGGTCCATGCCCCAAGAATACAAACTGGGGCAGCTCTTTGAAAGTTCAAGTGGAAAAAAAAAGAAGAAGAAAAGAATTGTCAAAAGTCCATGCCCTCAAAAAATAGAAGCTGAGGCAACTTGTTTTGAAAACAAAAGAAAAAGAAAGAAAAAAATAGAAAAGAAAAGAAAAGAAAAAACAACAGAAAGAAAAATGAAAAAATATTAGTTAGGTCAAATGTTTGAACTACGTTAGACTTGATTCCTTTAAAAAGGATACGTAGGCAGCCTCACGGTTCGGTCCAACAAAATAAGAATTCAGAAAAGAGAAAAAAATCCAAAAAAATCCCTTGTATCTGAAACTGGGGCAAAGATTTTAAATTACTTTTGGAAGAGTTGATTCCAAGAGTTGTAAGTCTACACCCCCCCCCCCCTTTNCACCCCCCTTTATTTTGAGTCTACGTTGAGCCGTCATGCCAACCCTTCTGCCCAACCCTATCCAAAAACTTCCAAATAAAGACCTCCCGATATGCCTTTAAGAATGCCAAGAGAAGCATGCAATGAGCAACGGATTTCATGCAACATAGAACACGGTCAAGTTGCTCACACAAGAAAGCAAAAGAAAAAGAAAAATAAAAGAAAATGAGAGAGTCTTACTAGTGAAAACCTTCACGGGCACTGTAAGGCAATGGTAAGGAGTGATAAATAAATGAGAGAGACTTGTTGGTGAAAACCCCTCGAGGCACCACTAGTCGAAAATGAGTCGTGAAGCTGATGTGAAGAATTGACACGAACAAGCCCGACTTTAAAGGTCATAAAAATGGTAAAAAGTAAGATTGGATTAATTTGGTAGATCGGTCGTTAAGTCCAAAATGCATGTCATGGTCATTAAGCCTAGTTATTGAAAAATATAAGAAAAAACAAATCTTCCCCTATCCTTCGCTACAGGGGCATTTCTTGTTAATATTGTTTCTTTGCATCAATGTGTCCTTCACTTTGAATCAGTCCTTGTCAAAACAAGTAAGAAAAGATTCAAAATCTGCTATCAGTTTTTCAGTTGCACAAAGTAAATTTGGCCAGCACACTCAGTTGTTACAGTTAACATGCCTTGAGGATTCATGCAAAATCTCCCCCCTCCAAGACTCTTGTCAGCTTACTTGGCGCAAGCAAAGATAACTTGTGATTCTCTCTGATATACAAATTGCTCCAAAGCAAGAAGTCATTCAATATATCGGAAAAGGTCATCTAAGAAAAGATCTCAAGTTGTGATAAGGCTGATTGAGCTGCAAATACAAATGGTACTGGGTGAAACAAACAGAGTTGGTGCAGAACAAAAGTCTCTTGAGACCGACTGAGGCCGATCGAGCAAAAGCCAAGCTGCTCAAGACTCAAGGCCACAAATCGACCACCATTTTCAAAACTGACAAATTTTTCTTTGTTGAAACAAGAACAAAGCAGTGCAAGGAAAGTGATTCAAAAAAAATGAAGAATAAAAGAGAAGAAGAGAAGAGCCGGCAAAGGGAAGTTTCTCAAAACTTTGACTTTATTTGTTTTGCTATGATGCATAAAATCTTGCCGTTGATCTTCACATTTTTCCTCTTAGGATAAAAAGTCCTAGTCTGATGGATTTTGCTCCCAGTAGATATCTTAGTCTGATGAATATTTCTCCTAAGATAGGAAATCTTAGTCAGGTGAATTTTCTCCTAGGATAGAAATCTTAGTCTGATGAACTTTCTCCTAAGATAAGCAAACCTAGTCTAATGAATCTTTCTCCTAGGATAAATGTCTTAGTCTGATGAATTTTCTCCTATGATAAAACCTAGTCCGATGAATTTTCTCCTAGGATAATAATTTTTAAAAACAATGGACCTAGTCTGATGAATTTTCTCCTAGGATCGAAGTCTTAGTCCGATGAATCTTTCTCCTAAGATAGAAAACCTAGTCTGATGAATTTTCTCCTAGTATCGAAATCTTAGTCTGATGAATCTTTCCCCTAAGATAGAAGACTTAGTCTGATGAACTTTCTCCTACGATAGAAATCTTAGTCAAATGAATCTTTCTCCTAAGATAACAAAAAGGGGGACCTAGTGTGATGAATTTTCTCCTAGGATCAAAATCTTAGTCAGATAAATTTTTCTCCTAAGATAGAAAACCTAGTCCGATGAATTTTCTCCTAGGATAATAATTAAAAAAAGGAAGTTTGAATTTGAAAAAGAGAGTGGTCAATTTTTAGTTTTCTTGAAATCAGGGGTCTCGCCTGGAGAATAGGGTCAGTTTTTACTTTAGTCAAGCTTAGTTTATAGTTTTCCGCAAGCTCAATCACGTTTAGGAGACGCACATCCTAGTCGAGTCATTAATTTTACTCTCATCATTGCATCCTTCATCAGTAGCGCAGGTGATTTATAGTTTTGTTAACACTCACAGATGTTCCCAATATCATGGGGTAGAAAATTTTCTTTTGATTTGTTTGTTTTGTTGTAATCAGGCTCCCACCTGGAGAACAAGGGAAGACAACTCAAGTTTCAAGGGAAAGCAGTTTCGAAGGAAGACAATTCAAGTTTCAAGGGAAAGTAGTTTCGAGGGAAGACAACTCAAGTTTCAAGGGAAAGCAGTTTCGAAGGAAGACAGTTCAAGTTTCAAGGGAAAATGGTTCAAGGTGCAAGGGAAAACAATGTCAAGTAACAAGAGAAGACGGTTCAAGTTCAGCAATCAGGCGCCCACCTGGAAAAAAAAGGAAATTCAATTCAGAATGCAATTTAGGTCAGCAACAAAAGAAGCTCGCGTCAAGAATGCGGGTCAGCAGTCCAAGATGATCAACAGAAGTTAGTCACAATCCAGAATAAAAAGAAAAAAATAGAAAGACAAGAAGTGAATCCAAATGCAGAAGTTGATGAAAGATGTGAGCTGCTTAAGACAGGGCTGAGGTCACAAGCTCTGCATGTCCCGTCTTGGTTTGAAAAGCTGAAGAAGATTGAACCAACACCTGCGGCTAACAGGCATCAAGATTTAGATCAAGGTCTGCATAAAGAACCAACCAAGACTCAAGATCAAGATTCAGAAGACTCATAGATAGGAATCTTGTAACTCGCAGCTGATAGGCTTAGTCAGTCTTTTTCATTTTTGATTTTGATGTAATAACGGTACCGCGGACTGGAACCTTGACGGCACCTCAATCGACTCTCCACCTCGGCATACTCCATCATCTCACTCACTTCTGAACTACACGTGACCTAATTACTTTATAGCCAAGGATATGTAGGCAGCTCAGATACCAGGGCTCGGTCACATTTCCCTTTTCTCTTAGTTTGGGTCTCCTTAAATAAGGGTCGGGTCAAAAAACCTGTCTAGTCGTTCTTTGTCTGAAAACTCTTCACGTTTCCAGTCAAAGAGGGGCAGCTGTAGATATTTGATTTTTGACCCTCCCTAAGATTTTTCATATTTTAGCACGTAAATATTTAATTTAGGCCTAAGATAGCTTTTTCAACTAATTTTTACTCTTTTACTCTATTTTATTACAAGAAAATAAAAATTACAAAAAAATAGTTTCATTAATGTTTTGTAATCATTTTAATCTTGAAAAATACCAAAAATAGTTTTGTTTTAACGGCCAGTCTTATTTTAATGGTTATTTTACTTAAGTAGGATTAATTAATAAATGAGATCGTATTTTAGGCTCGTTCGCGGAGAAAGAATAAAACTTGGGCTCGAGCAACCCATTTTTAGGCCTAATTTTGGACCTAGCCCATAACTCCTAGGCCCATACCCTAACCTAATCCCTACCCCTATATAATAGTATCTAACACCTAAAATAAAGAGAGACCCTAAAAAAATTAGATCCGTCGTTTTGTCTTCTTCCGAAATCAAAGAAGACCAAGAAAATGATGCCTAAAATCGTTCTTCTTCATTGAGTGAATCAAGGAAAAAGCTGAAGGCACCGTTTTTGTTGATCTTGAGATCCGCCATTTCCTAAAGAGATAAAAAAAAAGCAAAAAAGATACAAACACAAAAAGAGCTGAAATACAAAAAAAAACGCTAAGGAAAAAAGCTGAAAAGAGAGCCAAAAAATACACCTAGAAATAAGAGACAAAACAGATCCACCAAAATTCTCAGAAAATATACGACCCCCTCCCCTCCCTTTGAGCCATCATCTTCTTCAGAAGCAAACATAAAACAAAAAAACCTAGGTTGTAGAACACAAAATGACCCCCCATCGATCCCCATTCCCATCGTCGCTGCTCCTCCTCCCCGTCACCCTCACCTCGACGGAAAACAACACCATCCGCTGCTCATCCTCACAACAACGTTCGAGCAGCAACACACGTCCCATCATCCTCACAAAACCAGTCATTTCCCTGAGCTCACTCCATCAGCTACTCGAACAAGCAGCGACCAAACGCACACGAACCAGCTGACCCTTCTTCATCCTCTCCTTCAGCCTATAGCACCCCGTCATCGTCTCATGCCCAGACACGACACTGTTACAGCAACCAGATTTTAATCCAAAAAATAGAGAAGTCTCTGCTTCTTCTCTTTGGTTCGATCTCGATTATTTTTAGTTTCAAATTCATAGATTCCATTTTGAAGCTCGTTTGGAGAGTTGTTTGGAGCCGAGATGTTGGAAGCGATTTGAAGTCGTTGTTCAGTTCCGTTCGAGATTCCGATGAGGTTCCGGCGCTACTGCATTTTCTATTCGGTTTCAGGTTCATTAATCTTCCTTTGCGAGTAATTCAAAAGCCTTATTATGGCTTCTTCAGTTTTCCGCCCTTTCTTCCATTAAAATGTGAAAACATAGTGGTTTATTGGCTATGTCGTTAGATCGATTCAAGAGTATCTTAATAATTTGTTTACTGTGAATTCTCTATTTCAATTGGTATCTTTTATTTAATTCTTACATAGCTAAATTGGCATCTAAAACATTAGATGATAATGATCTTGATCTATGGGTCATTTGAGTGTTATAGTGCTCTGCGTCTTAAGAAGCTAATATAGTTGAATATTGTTTTTATTGAATTTTTGTGAAACCAATTTCGGGGCCAATGAGCGTTAACTTTTCTCAATGGTTGAATATTGTTTTGTTGGTTCGGTGTTTTGTATGATGTTGGTCACGCCATTTGATTGGCAAGTTTTGTGTTGCTTTCATCCCGTTGCTTTGATTTTTGTCATTTTGTGGCAAGTTTTGGTACTGGCCATATCTAGAGCAGTTTGATTCATTTTGTTTTGATCCATCATAATAGTTTGCTAAGATTTAAAGAGCTAGTTACAACTCCATATCTATAATTCATGATTACGATATTAAACGTGATGTTCGTAGTTGCTTTAAGCGTGCTATTTTAAAATTACCTTCCTAAACTCGGGTATGCATTTATATGACCCAAATCCAAATCTCAACAATGTTAGATAAAATATGTCGAGTACCGCGGGTGCATTTATGTGACGTGGTTCAAGACGTATTTTAAATGACATTGCAATCTTCCTTAAAGATGATTAAATGTGGCTAATGAGTTAAGATTGCATCATAGGCTAAAACATGTACTAAAATCAGATAATAGGCCAATTGTAATAGTTGAGAGACCGTGCTAGAACCACGGAATCCGGGAATGCCTAACACCTTCTCCCGAGTTAACAGAATTCCTTACCCGGATTTCTGTGTTCGCAGACCATAAATAAGAGTCAACTTCCTCGATTCGGGATTTTAAACCGGTGACTTGGGACACCATAAATTATTCCAAGTGGTGACTCTGAATTTTTAAATAAATAGTCTCGTTTCGATTGTCACTTAAATTGGAAAAACTCCCTTATATCTACCTTTGGGTGGTAAAAAGGAGGTGTGACAAGTTTCAGTAAAACCTTTTAAAACAACTTTCAATAGTTTCAAACGAGTGATAAAACAGTGAGTAAAAATGATAGAAACGTAAACAACCCCTCGGGAAAAATATGAACCATAAACCGCCCATCGGGCATAATATCAACAGAATCAGCCCCTCGGGCTACCTCACAATCACTCGTAATCAGCCCCTCGGGCATAACATGAATCAAGAACCGCCCCTCGGGCAAAACATGGATCAAGAACAGCCCCGAGGGCAACAATATGAAACAACAACAGCCCCGAGGGCTACATCATATCACTCACACTGGGTACCCGCGCTCACTGGGGGTGTGCAAACTCCTGGAGGGGCTCTTACAGCCCAAGCGCTATAACAAGCCATCTCGTGGCATAATCAAACAGGCCTTCAGCCTCATAACAAGCCAACTCATGGCATAACAAATCAGTCCATCGGCCTTAAAATCATGAATCGGTACAACACTACTGCAGTGCCAGCCCGATCCCATAGTATCCTCACAGCACAGGCCCTCAGCCTAACTTAGTCAGAAATCTCTCAAGCCACCCGGGCAACAGTAAAACATGATGCTCAACCCAAAATATCATTTAAAATATCAAACAAGTAAATATGGCTAAGTTATGAAAACGGTAGAATACAGCTTGACTGAGTACAAATATAAAGTCAAAACAGTGAAGAATAGTAGTAAAAATCCCCTAAGGGTCCAAAACAGTTGGCACGAGGCTCAAATATGGCATTCAGCATAAAACATGGTAATAATTTCCAAAACACAATGATATCAAACAGTTTTCAATCAAATACGCAACTTAACAGTCGTACAGAACGAACTAAGTCACAATCCCCAATGGTGCACGACCCCACGCTCGTCATTTAGCGTGTGCATCACCTCAAAGTAGTACAACGATGTAAAATTCGGGGTTTTATACCCTCACGACAACATTTACAATCATTACTTACCTCAATCCGGTCCAAACACTAGCCCGCGATGCCTTTGCCTCTCGACTCGGCCTCCAAATGCTCCAAATCTAACCAAAAATAGTTCATACCATCAAATTATGCTAAGGAAACAAAACCCACTGGAAAATAACCAATTTACACCAAGAATCCTGAAATTGGCCAAACCCGACCCCGGGCCCACATCTCGGAATCCGATAAAAATCATGTCAATAGAATCCTTATCCTCTAACGAGTCTATACATACCAAAATCATCAAAATCCGACATCAAATGCCCATTCAAATCCCCAAATATCATCTCTCAAATTCTCTTCCACTTTTCCCTCAATTTTCACCCCAAATTTCCAATTTATATGATAAAAATCAAGATACAATCATGGAATTTAACCAAAATTAAGTTAAGAACACTTACCTCAATCAATCCTATGAAAATCCCCTCCAAAATCACCTTCTCTCGAGCACTCTAATGAAATTTTGAAATTATGGACCAAACCCTCGTTTTTAGAACTTAATATTTTGCCCAGATATTTTCTTCATCGCGAACGCGGCAGTACCCTCGCATTCGCGAAGCACAAAGCTTCTCTGACCAAATTCTCTCCTTCGCGAACGCGAGGGTCCACCCGCGAACGTGAAGACCACACAGCTCGACCCTACGCGAACGCGATACCCTGGTCGCGAACGTGTAGCTTGATCTTTTGAACCTTCGCGAACGCGGGACCTGCATCGTAAATGGGAAGAACAAACCTGAAGCCTCACTCAACAACCCTTTGTGAACGCGAGGGCCTATCGTGAACGCCAAGAAGGGTTTTCTGCAACAAAAACACCAGCAAATTCTACAAGCTTTCAAAACCAATAATTGACCCGTTAACCACCCGAAACTCACCCGAGGCCCTAAGGACCTCAACCAAACATACCAACACATCCCATAAACTCATTCAAACTTGTTCCAACCTTTGGAACGCTCAAAACAACCTCAAAACATCAAATCACCCTCAGATTCAAGCCTAAGAATTCCAAAACTTCCAATTCCGCTTTCGATCAAAAAGTCTATCAAACCTCGTCCAAATGACTTGAAATTTTGCACACACGTCACAAATGATACAACGGACCTCCTCCAATTTTCGAAATTCCATTCCGCCCCGATATCAAAATTTCCACTACCAACCGGAAAAATGTCAAATTCTCAATTTCGCCAATTCAAGCCTAAACGTTTCACGGACCACTAAAATACATTCCGATCACGCTCCTAAGTCCCATATTTAGTACAAGCTTGTTATATTTGGGGTCGTGATATAACTTTTACACATAATTACTCACTCTATATCTCTCGGTAGTTTGAGTGACTTTGCTCTAATTGGCTTTCTCAAGCCCAATTGGGTGTTCAAACAATGCAAGTAAAATTGGCTCAAGTCGGGTATTACTATCTCTAGGTTTAACCCTTTAATTGGGGCTATCAATCTCTTGAATGCACCCCAATTCCTTGTTATCCTAATTTTCCTAGACTTAGTCCTTCTTTCTCACGAAGAGTCCAAGTCATAAAGGTACGAATCAGTGTTTGCAACTACTAATTCTAAAATTAAAGTATGAATCAAGCTAAATATCACTAACCTATAAACAATTAAGCCCTAAAATTGAAGACTCATTAAATACCCACACTAGGGTTGGGTCACAATCCTAGCTAATGGGTTTAACTACTCATAATCAAGGTAGAAATCAAAGATGGAGATGAAATATAAGCCATAAAAGTTGATTACAAGAATAAAATCTAAGAATAATAGCTAAAGTTGCTCTAAAATTACTCTAAATGGTAAAGTATGGCTGTTCACGAGCTCCTTGATACCAAAGATGACCTAAAAATGTGAAAAAGATCTATTTATACACAGCTAAAATTACCGGACAAAAATACCGCTACGGAGGTTCCGTTGTCAGTGGAATACTGGGCGCCTCAGTGCATGAGCTTTCGCGGCCGCGCAAAAACAAGTGTGGATCGCGTTTCTTCAATTTGGGACTGGGACTGGGCTAGGTTTTGCAGCAGAATTCGTTGGCTTCAATCGCGGCCGCGTAAAATGTTCGCGGGTCGCGTTCCTCATTTGAACTTATATTGCAAGGCCTCTGAACCTCTATCTCGCCCTCAGTGGAATTTGCACTGCAACCGCATCAGTTATTCCGCTGCAGTGCTATTTTATTGCGATTAGCGGTATCTATTGTATCCCAAAAATGCCTTCTCTGAATCTCAATTTTGTGGACAGCGTAATTGTGTCCGCTTCAGCGGTGGACCTTCTTCGGCCGCTCTTTTCCTTTGCGGTCAGTGCTTTTATCTCAGCTTTGAACTTGTGCATATTTAACTCCTTTATGAGTTGGTTATGACTTTCTTGCCTCATTTTGACCAAACCCTGCAAACAAGCACAATAAGTCAGTTTTCGAGAATACTTTTACACATTTTTTATCCAAAACCTAAGCAAAAGAGAGCATAATATAGGCTAGAATCCATAGTTATCACTCGACACTTATAAAGTACATGGAGTCGGTTGTACTTATACTACACTCTATATTTTTTGTGCAGATTTTAGAGTCAATCCCAACGGCAGTCAGTAGATTGCTCGGATTGATTGCTTGACGGAGACTTGAGGAACAGTTGCACGGCATTCGCAGCCCTAAAGTCCCCTTCTACATTATTCTAGCTGTTTATTTCATTTCAAATAGTTATGCTTTCATTCAGACTATAATATGTAGTACTCTACTCGCTCGTGTACTTGTGACACTAGTTCTGGGATTGTATCTCGATTCGCCGTTACTTTAGTTGATTTACTTTATTTCAATTTTATTCAGCTTATTGGTTTTATTTAAATTGATTTGTTAAAAATGGTTAATAACCATCTATAACATTGGCTTGCCTAGCAAGTGAAATATTAGGCGCCATCACAGTCTCGAGGGTGGGAATTCCGGGGCGTGACAAATGAGATGTAACTTCTTATGCTTATTTCGTGTGTTTTGCTTTTAATTTGTTGAAAATAGTTCATAGGAAGATGTTAATATTAGCCCATCTTCTTAACTTGCTTAGTATCCTTCTTATTTAACTTTTTTACTAAAATCTGTCATGTTTGAATTAGTACTTGTTTGGTGTATGGAACCGCGTTGTGTGGGGATCCATATGGCCTTGGAGTGACTTGTCGGTTGGGCCGCTTGTATTGGCGGAGATGAGGTTTCTAGACCTAATATTTACAGTATCGTATTGGAATGAGGAATGTTTGGGATAATGATACCATATTTTTGCTCAGAATTTGGGCAATGGACCTTATCGGACGAGTGAGCTTCTTGACTTGTTGAACGAGGTTTTATGTGATATGAGGTTTACTATTGGTACCGGATTTTCTTTTAGGCAACTATGGTGGTCAGCAGTCATTGCTATGAGTATCTGCGTTATGTGGTATATGATGTGATTATATCTTGGGTTATGAGTATGGCTTGATACAACTTGTTCATACTTATATAATGTATAGATGCGAGATTCGGGTCTTGTAATAAATTCCGGATGTTAGAAATTGGGTTCTAAGGTTTACGGACTAAGGTAAAAGTAAGGATCTTCAATTATGTTATGTTGGCAAGCGTACATGTATTGGATCACCCTCAGATATGTGCATGGTGAGGTTACACCATGATTTGATGGCCTTGGAACGACTCTTTGCACTTTCGAGGACAAATGTACGTTTAAGTGGGGGAGTATGTAAAGACCCAACCGGTCGTTTTGAGAATTTGCATTCCGTTCAGTTGTTTTAAGTCTTGAGTAGCTTCATATGATGTATTATGGCTCGTGTGTATCATCGATTTTGGTTTTAAGTCTTCGAGATGTATTTAGAAGAATGATTCTCAACTAGGAAGCTGTAAGTTGGAAGAGTTGATCAAGTTTGACATTTATGTATTTGACTTCAAATTGGAGTTTTGATGGTTTCGTTAGGTCCGAATCACGATTTTGGACTTGGACGTATGCCCGAATTCGCATTTAGATGTTTCTAGAATATTTCGACGCTATTTGGCGATAGTTGGAAATTTGAAGGTTTGGAATGTTCTTAAGTTTGACTGATAGTTGACTTTGATAATATCGGGTTCGGATTATGGTTCCTGGGAATTGGAATAGCTTCGTTATGTCATTTGGGACTTGTGTGCAAAATTTGTGGTCATTCCGGATTGATTTGATATGGTTCGGCACGAGTTTTGAAAGTTGAAAGTTCAAAAGTTCATTAAGTTCGATTTGAGGTGGATTCATAGTTTTGATGCTATTATATGTGATTTGAGGCCTCGATTAGATTCGTGTTAAGTTTTAGAACTTGTTGGCATGTTCGAACGAGGTCCTGAGGGGCTCGGGGAAGTTGCGGACGTGTTTCAGACCATTTTTCTTCATGATTTCATTGTTGGTTTCTGCTGGTTCTTGATGCCTCAATTGTTCTTTGTGATCGCGAAGATGCAGACGCGAGGTAAGGTAAAGTATGGAGCTGGGAATTTTCTGCTTCGCGTTCGCGTAAGATAGGTCGCATTCGCGAGGCTTTGGTGTATGTGGCCATCGTGTTCATGTGGCCAGTATCGCGAACGCGTAGAGCATTTTGGTGGCAGTAGTATTTTTTCTTCGCGATCGCAAGGAATTCGCGTGATCGCAATGAGTATTTATGTTCAGTGGTTATAAGTACGCTATTTTCGAGCTTTGAGTTATTTCGTCACTTTTTGAGTTGGGGGGCTCGGATTTAGGCGATTTTGGAGAGAATTTTCAATATATGGATTGGGTAAGTGTTATCTATTCGGTTTTGATTATATTTAATGAATCTATCTTCGATTTTGGCATTTGGATTATAAATTTTAAAGAGAAAATTGAGGGTTTTATCTAAACTTTCCTAAAGTAATTTTTGGATCTTTGAACATCGACTCGGAGTCGAAATTGAGTGAAATTAGTATGGTTGAACTCGTAATTGAATGGGTTATTGGAATTATGACTTTTCTCGTGTTTCGAGATGCGATTTCGGGTTTAACTTTTTGGTTGACTTTGGTTATATATTAAAGATTCGACCTTTGTCATTTGTGTTTGTTTCCTATGACATTATTTGATGGTTTTGAGTTGCTTCTGGTTAGTTTCTAGTTGTTTGGAGGTTGATTTGAGCATGATGGCGCTTCTAGTGCATCGATTTGACTTGTTTGAGGTAAGCGTCTTGCCTAATTTTGTCGGAAAATTTTTTCCTATAAATTGATATTATTTGCTACATGCGGGAGTGAAGCATATATGAGTTTACGAGTGTATATGCATGTGCTAGGATTAATCATGCTCGGGAGTAGATTATACGATTATTTGTGCCTTGTTAGGATATATGACCTTCTTGTTTCATGCTTTACTCGATTTCTAGATTAATATGAATATGAAGTTAAATGCAAGAAATCATGATTTAGCTCGTTAAAACTTGATTAAAATTTAACGGATTTTTGTAAAACTATTAATGTGCTAAATTCAGTCATCGGTATACTTAATCACAAATACCTCGCTACAATCGTTATTCTTGAGATATTGGATTCTATACTTGAGTTAAAGATCATTCATTTTTTAGATTGGTTGAGGTAATTGAACAATGAGGTTCTTGAGGTTTGTTGATTTGTTATTGGCTTGAAAGTTGTGATTTATGTTCGCTTGGAATATTCGCTTAATCATTCCCTTTGTTATTTATGCTTCTTACCTTCCTTGTTATTGTTATACATGTGCTTGGTGAGGAAGAGTGTAAAGCACGAAGGGTGATGCCGTGACATTTCATATACATTACCATGAGAGGAAGAGTGTAAAGCACGAAGGGTGATGTCGTGTCATGCAAGTTAAGCACGAAGGGTGATGTCGTGTCATGCAAGTTAAGCACGAAGGGTGATGCCGTGCTATTTTATTTACACTATCATGTGAGAATGAGAGTAAAAGCACCAAGGGCGATGCCATGCCATTTTATTTACATTATTATGTAAGGATGAGAGTAAAAACATGAAGGGTGATGTCGTGCCATTATGTTTATATTATTGTGTGTTCATGGCACGAAGGGTCTTTTCGTGCAGGCGAGGACGAGATATTATATTGTGATATCATTTCCTTGTGTATACATTCATGCCTTTGCCTTGAGTTGTTACTGTTGCACTATATTTTTCTATATGACTTGTTGTTGTTGTCCTATCTTGTACTCTACCTCAATTGTTGATGTATTATCCATGCTCTCCTTCTTGTTTGTTATATCTACATCTAAGCCTTTTATCATATTAGTTATTCATGCCTTATATTTGTTTAGCTTATAAGAATCATGATTTCCCTCTTGTTTGTTATATTTACATCTAAGCCTTCTATCATGTCAGTTATACATGCCTTCTATTTGTTTAGCTTATAAAGATCATGCTTTTCCCTTTGTTGGTTATATATATATCTAAGCCTTCTACCATGTAAGTTAGTTAAATTTATGTTCTTCTATCTTAATTGATGTCATTACTTCTATGCCTCCTACCTAGTCTATTACCGTTGTCCATATGCACTACTTTATTCGTTATTGTTACCTGTATAATTTCCACTTTGTCTTTACGGTTATTGGCATTTTTTTCACCTAGTTGGTACTTTTATACGTATATTTGGTGAGAATGAGATAAATGCATGAAGGGTGTTTCCATGTCATTTGATTTGATATCTTGAGTTCATCTCTCACATTATGAAAGTTGGATTTGTTACCGTGGTTTGATGATTATCGCTTTAAAGAAAGGATTGGTTGTGATGTTGGGGAATATTGACCGTGATTTCTTCTAGTAATCTTTACTGCTTCACATATTTGTTTCTTGTACTCTTATCTGTGTTGTTCTAGAATTGTTTTTATTGATATTCTACTGCACAGGTTAGTGAGTATCTTTTAACTAAAAAGTGTCGTCACTATTTCACCGAGGTTAGAAAATATACTTACTGGGTACATGGGGCCAGTTATACTCATACTACACTTCTATACCTTGCGTGCAGATTTTGGAGCTGGAGTTATTGTGCAGGGTGGGAGCTGGCATTGAATATTCATGCGTTGGGACTAGGAGGTTTTATCCATACAAAAAAAGGTTGTGATATTGGATAATTAACGCCCTCTTCTCCAGGCATGCTGCTCTTTCAGTATATGACAAAGAACTTTTGGCTATTGATCAAAAGGCTCTGAATTCCTTAATGGACCAAAAATTGCATACCAATTCCTATCTAATGTGGTTAACTAAATTGATGCCTTTTGATTATACCATTGAGCACAAGAGAGGAGTTGAAAATAAGGTGGCAGATGTGCTCTCTGATGTCGAATTATTATCATTGGTAATTCTACTACCGTTCTGACTTTTTACTACCTGTCATAACACAGTTGAAACACATATCCTGAATTAAAAGCTCTTATTGAACGGCTATAATCCGATCATTCAGCTCACTCCCACTTTACTTGGCACCATAACCAGTTGATGAGAAAAGGGACCTGACATTTTATATGTTGTAAGTCTTCTATCTAGATTCACTAATTGTGCAACTAATACACATTTTATAGCAGCTCAAAGGGCAACGCGATATGTTAAAAGAACAATAAATTTTAGAATCAAATCTTATGCAAATGAGATGTACGTAGGGGTGTTTCGAGTTTCGACGGTGATTGGGCGTTGATTCTTCTGATAATATAATTTTAATCTTGGTTTGGGGGTATTTTCTTCGTATTCTGAGAAACAACAGATTGTTGCACAATCTACAGCTGAAGCTGAGATCTAGGCAGTAACAGCTGCTGCAAATCAAGCCTTATGGCTTAGAAAGTTTGCTTGATTTGAATTTGAAGCAAGAAGAGCGCACAAAGGTATTTGTGAATAATCAAGTACCTATTACTATCTCAAATAATTCTGTTTTTCATAGGAAAATCAAGCATTTCAATATCAAATTACTATTTCTCAGAGACCTGTAGAAGGAAGAATATGTTGGATTAAAATACTGCAAGACCGATCTTCAACTAGCAAATATGTTTGCCAAAGAGCAAATTTGAATTTTGGAGAGAGGCTTGGAATCTGCAGCAACTGAAGCAAGGAAGAGTGTTGAAGAATTGCTTCAGCTGGCTACTGCAAGAAAAAGTCAAAACAACTTCGTTGGATTTTCTCATGATCATGGAATTATGTGTTAAGTAATTGCTTAATTCTAGGATCTAATTATTGAGTCAAAACAACATTCCTTTAAACTCCTTTCTAGGGTTAGTTGCCTCTTTTCATGAATTCAAGCAAATGACAATATTGGTCATCAAATGATGATAACCACCAAATTTACATTCACACAATAACTACCTGATCTGTTTATGCGAGGAGTGTTTTATGAACACAATAGTTCTATAGTATAATCAAAACATCAGGGAAAGAAGAAGAAAAATGACAATGAAACTCAAACTGAAAGACCTTTTATTGTTGAAATTGAGAAGCGTTACTAGCAAAACACATCTCCCTCTTCTCTCTCTCTCTCTCTCTCTCTGTGTTTCAAGTAGCTACACAAATCTTTTTATATACTACATTCTATTCCTAAAAATCACCAGAACTGTTGCTGAAAATCAGGAGCTTTTTTAAAAGTCGGTTACCTAGCTTTTTGGTTGCTGAAGACGTGTTCTACCACTAGGTTAATTTTCACTAAAATCTGAACAACTAACAGTAAAAACATACAGCAGCTAACAGTTAAGAAAAACAGAACATGGACACTAGATCATCCTTGATTATGACTCCCTTTCGCTATAACAACCAGCTCCTGTTGGTTCTTTATAATTGAAGATGAGGAAACTGTTTTTGTCCAATTTCTTTTGAGAACCATTTAGCTCCCTTGGGGTGTTGACCCTTTACTCCGATGCAATACAAATTCTTGGATACCACGCCTGGTAGTGATGATTTTCTTTTCCAATATGGTGTCCTCTGGAAGAGCAAATTCCTTACCGATACCCAAATCTTCAATCGCAGGAATCATGTCGGTTGTTTCATCATCAAGCAGCGATGGTTCAAACAACTTTAACTTATCAACATTCATAACTGAATACATTTGCATATAGGCAGACAATTCCAGTTGGACGGCATTATCTTCAATTTTTCTTAAAATTCGAAAGGGACCATCCTGATAGGCTTGAGCTTTTTGCCTTCGCCTTTCAACCTTTCTATCCCTAGGTGAAGCCAAACCAAGTCACCTTCCTAGAAATCTCCCTATATTCGATGTTTATCATGGCGCTCCTTATATTTTTTTGTGACTTGAAAAGTTGTTCCACTTCCTGATGCACTCGTCGGATATGATCAATGAATCATTGAGCCTTGAGTAAGTCAGCCTCATTTTTGCCATCTTGTGAAGCTACTTAAACCGTAAACTCCAAATCAAAGACTTTGTAGTAAGAATCCAAGGCAAACTTCTTCTGGGCCTTCTTAATTGAAATATGAATTATGTGGTTGATGGCAAACTGAAAAATAGTATGCTCTCATCCCATGTTTTTAGGTGGCGCAAGTTGTAGCCGCGCAAGAGATGAACCAACGTCCGGTTAACCACTTTTGTCTGGCCATCCATTTGTGGATAGAAAGTGGTGCTCTGTTTCAACTTAGTATCCATAAACTCCCATACAGTGCTCCAAAATTTGCTCACGAACCGAGTATCACGATATGATATGATTGAATTAGGCAGCCCAAAAATCTTCCACACAGTTTCAAAGAACAACATTGCTGCCTCCACTCCAGTAACAGTCTTCTTGCATGGAATAAGTACCACCATCTTTGAGAATCTATCAACTACTACATATTGGTAATCGTTATCACGTCGAGTCTTTGGAAGACCTCCTAAAAAGTCCATAGAAATGCTTTCCCAAGGTCGAGTAGGAACTGGTAGTGGAGTGTATAAACCTAACTTTCTGTTAGCAGGCTTTGAGACACTACATAATCCACATCCCTTTATAAATCGACTTACATCTTCCTGCATAAACATAACGTTGAAGATTCAACAATGTCTTTGTTTCTCCAGAATGTCCCGCAACTTTAGATGTATGAGCTTCTCTCATCCAACTTATACGTTCTGCAGCTCGAGGAACACACAACCTTCCATCCTTGAATAGCAGCCCATCTTGGATGTTGAATTTTGAAGCTCTTCCTGCCTTAACTTCTTTTATCTTGTCTTGAAACAAAGGATCCTCAAGATACCATCCTGCATATTATTCATGAAAAGCTGGCTCTATCTTCATAAATAAAGCTAAGCATAAAGATGTTAAGGGAGGTCGTGATAGCATATCAGCCAACTTATTATGAGCTCCCTTCTTGTACCTGATAACAAGATTAAACTGTTGCAAGTATGTCATCCACTTTATATGACAAACTTGCTGCAAACGAGACTGCACTTGTAAATACTGTAAAGGGCGATGTGTTAAGGGAATAAACCCCGTAAAATAATATTCACGGTATTAGTGATAAACGCGGACTACTAAGTTATGGTTAAATCAGGAAGAATAATTATGCAGCAAAAATGACACCAAGATTTTACGTGGAAACTCTTCTGAATAAGGAAAAAACCACGGCCAAGAAGAGCAATTGATATCACTATAGCGAGGATTTTATATTATGTAGTAACAAGTACAAATACTCCTAAGACCACTATCCCGTCAAAAGAAAAAAATATTCTTTTGCTTTTTCCACCTCACTACAATATCTTTCACACGCTATTTTTCTTCACAGGCTATTTTCTTATAGTCTATAGAATACATTGCTCTCTCTCTCTTTTCTCTCTTTGTTGGTGTGTAGAAATGAGAGTTGAAGCTCTTCTTTTATAGCCAAAACTCACTCTCTAAAGCCTACAATATTTGACAATTTGCACACACTTTTTATAATTTCAACAAGGTTGACTACCAAACCAGGAACCAAACCAAGTCAACAAAATTGGCTACCAAATCATACCAATTCAACAAGGTTGGCTACCAAACCAAACCAAGTCAATAAAATTGGCTACCAAATTATACAAAAAAAAAAATTCAACAAGGTTGGCTACCAAACCAAACCAAGTCAACAAAATTGGCTACCAAATCATTTGAATGAGATGGACACCATATCAATCTCCCCTTACAGTCTCATTCATCTAGAGGAGGTAGCACTGTCTTCTAGTCTAAGTGCATGACGACAAGTTCTTTGCATAGCTCGAACTTGTCTCTTGGTACCACCTTGGTCAACATATCAGCAGGATTTTCACTTGTGTGAATCTTTTTGACTTGAAGTGATTCGTTCTCCACTTGCTCACGAATCCAATGATATCTGACGTCGATGTGTTTTGTTCTCGCATGGTACATGGAGTTTTTGCTTAGGTCTATTGCACTATGACTGTCGCAATAGACAACATACTCTATCTGTCGCAATCCAAGTTCTTGAAGAAATCTCTTGAGCCATATCCTCTCTTTTCCAGCTTCAGTAGCCGCAATATACTTTGCTTCAGTTGTAGATAGTGCGACACACTTCTGTAACTTTGACTGTCATGATATAGCTCCCCTTAAAAAAGTAAACAAATATCCAGTAGTGGATTTTCTATTATCAAGGTCACCTGCCATATCAGAATCTGTATAGCCCTTTAGTTTTGGATTTGATCCTCCAAAACATAAGTGTTCATGTGAGCTTCCTCTTAGATACCTGAGTATCCACTTTACAACTTCCCAATGCTCTTTTCTTGGATTTTCGAGAAATCTGCTAACAACACCGACTGCATGAGCAATATCTGGTCGAGTGCATACCATTGCATACACCAAACTTCTGACAGCGGAGGAATAAGGAATCTTGGTCATTCTCTCTTTTTCCTCCATTGTTGTAGGACACATCTTCTTACTCAACTTCAGATGACCAGGAAGGGGTGTGCGAACCAACTTAGCACTTTTCATATTGAAACGCTCCAACACACGTTCTATGTACTTCTCTTGTGACAAGTAAAGCTTTCTTTCGTTTCTCGAACGAGTAATTCTCATGCCCAAAATCTGCTTAGCAAGAACCAAGTCTTTCATTGCAAAAAACTTATTCAATTGTTTCATTAACTCGTCAATCTTGGAAGCATTCCTGCCCACAATCAACATATCATCCACATATAGCAAGAGGATGATAAAGTCATCATCAAAAAATCTTTGTACAAACACACAGTGATCTAAAGAAGTATTCTTGTAGCCTTGCTCCCCCATAACAGACTCAAACTTCTTGTACCACTGTCTGGGAGCTTGCTTCAATCCATATAGACTCTTCTTAAGTTTGCATACAAGATTTTCTTTACTTTTTGCCTTGAAGCCTTCAGGTTGTTCCATATAAATCTCCTCTTCTAAGTCACCGTGAAGAAAAGCAGTCTTCACATCCATTTGCTCAATCTCCAAATCAAGAGTGGCAGTCAAACCAAGAACTGTCCGAATGGAGGACATTTTCACGACAGGAGAAAATATGTCGTCAAAGTCAATACCTTTTCTTTGACCAAATCCCTTAACAACCAATCTAGCTTTGTATCTAGGCTTCAAACTATGTTCTTCAGCTTTAACTTTGAACGCCCACTTGTTTTTCAAAGCTCTCATGCCCTTAGGCAATTTCACCAACTCATAAGTATGGTTCTCATGCAGAGATTTCATCTCATCTTGCATGGATTCAATCCATTGATCCTTGTGCTCATCTTCTATGGCTTCCGCATAACATTCAGGTTCTCCCCCATTAGTGAGTAATACATACTCATTGGGTGAATAACGGGAGGAAGGAGTACGAGGTCTAGAAGACCTCCTGAGTGGAATATCTAACTCGTCCACAGCTTCGTGAGTAGGAGCATCTACCTCATCAACATTAGCATTGTTATCACCATCACCATCAATATGCTGATCTGGAATATGGTTCTGGGCATCACCATCATCATTGATCCCACCAACGTTATTTGCATTTGTATGAGAAACTTGATCAAGATTAACTAAACCTTCAGAACTTGGAAATTTTAGCTTATCCACTTTGTTAATATCTTCGATGGTTTGATCCTCCATGAAGAAAACATTACGGCTTCTCATGATATTCTTCTCAATTGGATCATATAGCCTGTAACCAAACTCATCAAGGCCATAACCAATGAAGATGCACTGTCTTGTCTTAGCATTTAATTTTGACCTCTCATCTTTAGGCACATGTACAAAAGCTTTGCAACAAAACACTTTCAAGTGGTCATAGGAAACATCCTTGCCATACCAAACTCTGTTTGGAACATCACTTTGCAAAGCAACTGCAGGGGATAGATTAATAACATGTGCGGCGGTCAACAAAGCCTCACCCCAAAAGGAATTCGGCAACTTTGCTTCAGAAAGCAAACATCTGACTCTTTCCATCAAGGTCATGTTCATCCTTTCTGAACCATTAAGCTAAGGAGTCTTAGGAGGAGTCTT